GGTACATTAAATCTTCATCAAATTTGCTTTAAATTGATCTTTATTGCATGATGATATCTCAATTCGTTCTTGAGATACGATTTCTTTAAATTTATTTCATATCTAAAACAATCAAACATGCAGAGTTGGATTTAAATAATCATAAAAACGGTGTTTATGGAAATTAATAATTTATTTATGGTACATTAAATCTTCATCAAATTTGCTTTAAAATGTTGTTTGTTTCATATCGATATCTCAATTAGTTTTTGAGATACGTAAAGATTAATTATCCCAACATTTATGTTCAAGGTTGCGTTCATAAAATCATAACTCCGATATTTGAAGATTCCAAGAAATGATCTTCAAAGTATTAATTTCTAAATAAATTTGCTTTAAAATGCTTTTTATTTCATTGTGATATGTCAATCCGTTCTTGAGATACAATTTCATAAAATTTGTATTTCGTGCTTATTACAATCAAACATGCAGAGTTAGATTTAAAACATCATAACGACGGGGTTTATAGAAAATAAGAAATTATTTATGGCACATTAAATCTTCATCAAATTTGCTTTAAATTGATCTTTATTGCATGATGATATCTCAATTCGTTCTTGAGATACGATTTCTTTAAATTTATTTCATATCTATAACAATTAAACATGCAGAGTTGGATTTAAATAATCATAAAAACGGTGTTTATGGAAATTAATAATTTATTTATGGTGCATTAAATCTTCATCAAATTTGCTGTAAAATGTTGTTTGTTTCATATCGATATCTCAATTCGTTTTTGAGATACGTAAAGATTAATTATCCTAACATGTATGTCCAAGGTTGCGTTCAAAAAATCATAACTCCGATATTTGAAGATTCCAAGAAATGATCTTACATGTATTGAATTCTACATAAATTTGCTTTAAATTGATCTTTATTGCATGATGATATCTCAATTCGTTCTTGAGATACGATTTTTTAAAGTTAATGTCATATCTATAACAATTAAACGTGCAGAGTTGGATTTAAATAATCATAAAAACGGTGTTTATGGAAATTAATAATTTATTTGTGGTGCATTAAATCTTCATCAAATTTGCTTTAAAATGTTGTTTGTTTCATATCGATATCTCAATTCGTTTTTGAGATACGTAAAGATTAATTATCGTAACATTTATGATGAAGGTTGCGTTCAAAAAATCATAACTCCGATACTTGAAGATTCCAAGAAATGATCTTCAAAGTATTAAATTCTAAATAAATTTGCTTTAAAATGCTTTTTATTTCATTGTGATATCTCAATCCGTTCTTGAGATACAATTTTTTAAAATTTATATTTCGTACTTATTACAATCATGCATGCNTAAACATAAAAAATCGTTAAATTGATGATATCTCTGTTTTTTACCTCATATCTTCTAAGTTATTGTGTTAATTTGAATTTCAAATACATTTTTGAATTCCCTGAAGTATTTTACGTAAAAAAGGTGTTCTTAGTGTAAAGTTGTAATATTAACCGTTCTTGAGATATTTCAATTTTAATAAATTCGAAATTTATGTGATTAGATTAGTGGTGTTATAATTAATCTAATTTTGTTATTAATTCATAATATGGGTTAATTTATAATCTCATTGAATTGATTAATAAATATGTACCAAGATTCCAATTGGGGGAATCCCAATCCCGAAATTTTTTGCAATAAAAACATAAATTAACGGAAAGAAATTTGTTGAGCATATTATATTAGGGGTCTCGTAATAAAAAAAATCCTCTCTATAAATAAACAATTTAAGTGAAATGAATACAAAATAAACACGATTACTTATCGCGGAGTGATTAAGGCATTTTTGCTATTTATAGTCCTGCATCACACTCGATAAATACGGATTGTAATGTAACGGTGTAATTGTTCAATTTGCATTACGATCATTTTTGCTATAACAATTTGTGTTGAATTGTTGAATTACACTTTCTATTGCGGGTCGTGATATAATCCTTCGTAATTGCATGCAAATGATATGCGAGTCCAACAAAAATTTTTCATTTCAAGGTTTTGGTAGCCTTGGGTTTTGATTCAAAACTTTTCTTAAAAGATTATTTAGCGATAAATAATTTGGTCCCTTTTGTTTCCGATCGTGTTCTCTTGTGACGGTCGTTTATTATTTTTTTTTCCTCGAGTTGCGAGGTCATCGACTCTCCCGGACGGAGGTTTACTTTGGAAACGACTTGGCTCGTTCAAAACCGTTTCTTTCTTTGTTTCTGACCGGAGGAGTAAAAGTTTCGTTTTCACCGCGATGTTACAACACTTTGGGTTTAGTTTTTCGCCAACTTTCTTTTTCTGATTTCAATTTGATCGTATTAAAAGAACCGTCAAAAGGTACAATATACAATTCCCTCACACCGGGAACAAGTGCGTAATTGATGAACGTTCCTGATTAATGCACGTGTTAGTCAGTTCCACCCTCCGGAGCTTAGCCACCCCAATGTGCCAGTGAAAGGGTCCCTTCCCTTCACAGTTTCAGAAGGGTCGAACAGGTTTAGAGAATTCACCCCACATAGTACTACTACAGTATCGATCCAATGTTTGTGGATGCATTTCAAAAGGGGGTCGATGCGGTGGAATTCAATTCCAATCAGATAATAATCAATTCTTTATTATTAACAAAAATATTAAATTAAATTAAGGTCAGATCGATGGGTTTACGTAAAGTTTTCCCCCGAAAACAAACTTGAAATTGACTCAAACTTTTCTCTTCCACCCGGAGTTTTAGAAACATCCCATTTCGAAACTGAAAGTAACCCGGTTGCATTTTAGTTCTAATTTGTTTTCTTCTTGTTGCAGGAACGACGATGTACTACAGGAATTTGCCGGCCGTTTTTGGCTGGCACTCCGGCACGTGTGAATAAATTTTCGAAAACATAGCGAAAGGTTAGTCGAACAAATTTTATTAAAACCCTATTTGTTTTTCCCATCTTATTCTTATTCTTACCGTTGAAAATGGATCCTATTGTTTTCGGATGCCAACGAAATTAACATTTTAGTTTGAAACCATGCCAGAACGTTAATTTATCGACGAAACTTTTCGTTGATATGTTTCTATTTTTCTTATCCAAAATGACAGTATTATCTACAGCTTCTCTGACGTGTTATATTTTATGCGTGTATATTTAGAACCAGTTTACACTTCATCTCGATTTTTGATATATTACAACTTTAATATTGTACATCATTAAAATACCTTGACTTATTAAAAAGATATCAAAGAAAAATTGACTCCTTGACTTGACAAATTAGTACCTTATCAACGAATATATCTTTTATGATATGAAACCTTCTTTATTGATTAATATTTATTTTATAATATAACACACTAAAATACATCGATTCACAAAGAAGTTAAAGCTGGGGATATTTATGCATTATTTTGAATCATTTTACGTTGATATTGATGACCTGGCCACAGCAATTCAAACAGTGATATTGCATCATATCATATAGCGTTCAAATCTACTATAATTGAACTATCTGTTAAGGTATAAATCTTTAAAATATCTTGATTTATTCAAAAGTTATCAAAGAAAGAACTTATACTTTCGTGTTAGCCATTTAAGTTATATCATATTTTTCCAATCCAACCCAACAATTATTATACATCATTTTAAAGAAAAAGCTTTAAGCTTTAATTTAGAACAAGTCTCATTCCTTAATTTCAATAAATACGGCTTCCAGGAATTTTTAAATTACCATCTTTTTTGACACTTTTAGGTTATACGAAAATGTAAGTTTTGTTTCAACATTTTTTTTCTCAATATTTTTTCAATCCAACCCAACAATTATTATACATCACTGTAANTCCAAGAAATGATCTTGAATGTATTGAATTCTACATAAATTTGCTTTAAATTGATCTTTATTGCATGATGATATCTCAATTCGTTCTTGAGATACGATTTTTTAAAGTTTATTTCGTATCTATAACTATTAAACATGCAGAGTTGGATTTAAATAATCATAAAAACGGTGTTTATGGAAATTAATAATTTATTTATGGTGCATTAAATCTTCATCATATTTGCTTTAAATTGATCTTTATTGCATGATGATATCTCAATTCGTTCTTGAGATACGATTTTTTAAAGTTTATTTCACATCTATAACAATTAAACATGCAGAGTTGGATTTAAATAATCATAAAAACGGTGTTTATGGGAATTAATAATTTATTTATGGTGCATTAAATCTTCATCAAATTTGCTTTAAAATGTTGTTTGTTTCATATCGATATCTCAATTCGTTTTTGAGATACGTAAAGATTAATTATCCTAACATTTATGATCAAGGTTGCGTTCAAAAAATCATATCTGCAATATTTGAAGATTCCAAGAAATGATCTTGAATGTATTGAATTCTACATAAATTTGCTTTAAATTGATCTTTATTGCATGATGATATCTCAATTCGTTCTTGAGATACGATTTTTTAAAGTTTATTTCATATCTATAACAATTAAACATGCAGAGTTGGATTTAAATAATCATAAAAACGGTGTTTATGGAAATTAATAATTTATTTATGGTACATTAAATCTTCATCAAATTTGCTTTAAAATGTTATTTATTTCATATCGATATCTCAATTCGTTTTTGAGATACGTAAAGATTAATTATCTTAACATTTATGATCAAGGTTGCGTTCAAAAAATCATAACTCCGATATTTGTAGATTCCAAGAAATGAGCTTGAATGTATTGAATTCTACATAAATTTGCTTTAAATTGATCTTTATTGCATGATGATATCTCAATTCGTTCTTGAGATACTATTTTTTAAAGTTTATTTCATATCTGTAACAATTAAACATGCAGAGTTGGATTTAAATAATCATAAAAACGGTGTTTATGGAAATTAATAATTTATTTATGGTGCATTAAATTTTCATCAAATTTGCTTTAAAATGTTGTTTGTTTCATATCGATATCTCAATTAGTTTTTGAGATACGTAAAGATTAATTATCCTTACGTTTATGATCAAGGTTGCGTTCAAAAAATCATAACTCCGATATTTGAAGATTCCAAGAAATGATCTTCAAAGTATTAAATTCTAAATAAATTTGCTTTAAAATGCTTTTTATTTCATTGTGATATCTCAATCCGATCTTGAGATACAATTTCTTAAAATTTATATTTCGTACTTATTANATTTTTAAATTAGCATCTTTTTTGACACTTTTAGGTTATACGAAAATGTAAGGTTTGTTTCAAAATTTTTTTGCCAAATATTTTTCCAATCTAACCCAACAATTATGATACATCATTTTAAAGAAAATTGACTTATCGCAATTTATCTCCGATTTTCTTATATAAGTCGCTGCACATTATTTTTTTGCTTTTTATTGGCGCTAATCACTTCTTGTTGGGTTGGGTTGAGTCAGATAAGTGTGTGATAAATGTTGCAAATCGCGTTGATTTAGTCTTGTTTGACACTTTTATTTCGGTTTCATTTACCTTTTCATTTACGTTAATTCTTTAGCATAATTTTCCATATAAACAAAGGTATCATCTGCATACAAAGTGTGATACATATGTTTATGGAAACATAAATTAACATTAAGTATCGTTGTTGTCTTTGAAAAAGAAATTTTCGTTAAACAAAACAAACACGAATATCTTAATAAAATTGTTATTGTCGTAATTCCAATTGATTATTAACCCGAGCATCGTTCTTCACGAATTCGAAACGAGCGCATTTTCCGTTGCAAAACGACCTCGTGTAGTGTTGCACGTCCTGTCGTCACGTATAGTCCGGCTAATGAATATTTATGGCCAACAGCCAACCATTTGTCGGTTTTCCCGAGCTCTTTCTTAAAAATTTTTATTTCTTTCGAAAATTTGAATTCATCAAAAATCTTTTGAAGCAAACTTTTCGGTCGCACCTAAACAAACACGACTCTGCGACTGATCCGCAAACCATCAGGAGGCTCTGAGCGAGGTCATAACCACAGCGACGTTGTCGAGGTGGTGGGGAGGGGGGACCTCGTTCGTCGCTTGTTTTCAGTTCATGGCCTACTTAGATAACGGCTCGTTTTACGATAATTACCACAATTTCTTTTTTTTGTTCTTCATCAAAATTAATTCTTCATAAACTCATAATCGATTTATTTAATACGTGTCCTCGTTCAATGCTAAGTAATTCTTGACTAACAGTATCTGATTGCGTCATCGACCTTTGTCTTGCGTAACCGTCTCCGATTCAGCACGTGTTTGCAAATTTTGTTATGTTGCTATAATAAGGAGTTAATTAATCAGAGTTAAAAGATGGATTTATTAAGGTGGTTCCCCCCTCTTTACCTTTTCGCGTAAACGAGGTCATCGCCCATCGATCCGTGGGCTTCCTTAGGTTCGTGCAAGATTCCAAGCGTATCGAGTCTTCGAGAATGATTCAAAAGATTTTTTTTTGTTTCAGAAAAGTCCGAAGCAGGTGAGTCCTGCGTGAGATGGATGTCATTACCAACGCATTGGAGGGACAGGTTAGGCAGTATTTCCAGGGGCTGCCCACGGCTTCGAGCTCGACGGCGAGCCCCACGTATCAACAACCGACCCAAGCGACGAGTCAATCAAACAACGAGAGGCCATCAGTTCCTTATTGGCCCCCTCACCCAGATTCGCGGGTTCAACACGACACCCGACCCAAGGATGTGATATCGGAGGCGAATTCGTCTCATCAAAGCGTTCCTCACGAACCCACCGGAAAAAGCAATCAAAGCTATTACAACCCTCCAAATGGCGCTAATTACGTTGAACCTCAATACCAACATTATCGCGAATACCAACAATCCTCGCATATTTTACCCAACCCAAGTTATCAGCAAAGAGTCGCTCCAACTCAAAGAGTACAAGAACCCAGTTATCACCAAATGCAAACACCAACGAGTTACTACCAAAATCATCGTTCCTATTACAAACCAGTGACGAGTAATAACGTTAAGACTGTGGTGACCTCGCAAAATCAAAATCAATACGATGGGTTTAAGTATCAATCTGGAATGGCGAACAATTATGCGGGAAACAAAAACGTCAAAACCACTCATAATTTACCTCCGATAGCCGGGCTTCAATCGAATTACGCCGGGTTCAAGACTAAGAAGGTTGCGCAAGGAATTCCTAGACCTAATTCTGAGGTGATTTTTAGAAATTCTAATTATCACTCTTCTTCGAATTATCAACAACATTATTCTCAATCTTCCAATCAAACAAATCAACAACAGAATGTTCAAAATGTGCAAAACGTTCAGAGTCATCAACAAAATATGCAAAATGTTCAGAATCATCAACAAAATGTACAAAATGTTCAGAATCAGCAACAAAGTCATTTGCAAAATCACCTAAATGGTCAACATCAAAGTCAGCAATCAAATCATCAATCAAGTCATCAATTAAGTCATCAACAAAATCAGTTACAAAATCAACAATTAAGTCATTTAGTAAATCAACAACAAAATCAGATGCAAAATCGGCAACAAAATCAGATTGAAAATCATCAACATAATCAGATACAAAATCATCAACATAATCAGATACAAAATCAACAAAATCAGTTACAAAATCATCTACAACAAACTCAGCAACATAATCAGATACAAAATCATCAACAAAATCAGTTACAAAATCATCAGCAACAAAATCAGATACAAAATCATCAACAAAATCATCAACAACTTAATCAGCAACAAAATCAGTTACAAAATCAGATTAATAATCAGCAATTATCAAATCATTTAGTAAATCATCAACAAAGTTCTCAACAAAATCACCAATTAAGCCATCAATTGAGTCTTCAAGTAACCCAGGCGTCAATAATTCATCAGAACAATTCAAGTTATCAATCAGCGTCAATAAAAAATGAGTTTTCTCCAACACAAATCAATAATAGCTTTGATAGCGTGCTTGATTTGTCGTTAAAAACAATAAAAACGCCTGCTGATTCAACTTTGGACGATAATAACATGTCTTCTGAGGAACGAAATCAACCGAAATATGTCCCGATGAGGAGATATGATCAAAGAAATAACGTTGTGCGAAGTGGTAGCGTTACGAGTGCGCCGAAAGTCGATTTTACCCCGAATTTTAATCGGCCACTAACTCATTCTCAACCGATTAGTTATAACAACAATAATAACCAAGAAAGACGAAATTATCCTTATTATAATCAAAATCAAAGTCATAATAATTTGAATACATCTCGGTATTATTCCCCGATTCGTAAAGAAACGTTACCAAGGATTGATTTTCCGTCATCGAATCAAATTCAAAAATCGCAAGGGATGTACGTGCATCAAAATCAAGATCAACGCAAAAGGTTGTCGTCGGAATCGATGCCTGTGTTGCCGAAAAAGCCGAAAGTCGATGAAAAATGGAGACAGGCAATCGATAAACAAATAGAGCAAAAATTTTCGATGTATCAAAAAAATTCGTCAAGCGAAAAAAAATCTTCGATGATCAACGGAAATTTGACATATCAAACGAATCAATTCCAACAAAGACAATATCAAATGCACCAAACTTACGTCCCATCCCCCGGGGTTCCCCAATACCCCGTGTACCACCAACAAAACCTCCCCCGATCAAACTCCCAATCTTCATTAAATCGACTTAGTGGGAGTCATCAAAACGTTCAAGGCGCCGATAAACGCGTCATAAGCATCTTACGTTCTAATCTTGAGATGAAAGGGGCGAAGGAGGCGCAAAGGAGGCAAGACCAAAAAGTTTTTAACAACTCGAATCAAATCCAACAACCATCCACGGACGTTTTAGCCCCCCTCCAACCGAAAACCGCCATTTTATCGCGCCAAAATGTTTCTCCATTTACCGCATCAAGCATAGAACGTAACACCCCCCCAATATCAGGGTACAAATTTCCCAAAGCCGTCGATTCAATCCGATTTGATTTGGACGAGAAACCCGGTTGTTCCAGCTTGGGCAATCAAAATGATCTGGATGGTTTAGCCGCGAATTTAGCGGCGAGAATTCGCACTAAAGGAGAGTTGAAGCAGATGCAACAAATTCAGCTAAATCAATTAAATCATGTCAATCAAATTAATCAGATTAAGACTGAGTTGATTAAAATTGAGGAGCCTCCAAAATTAACGAAAGAAAAGTTGTTGTATCCCCCGAGAAGGAGAGTTTTTAATCGGGATGATGAGCAAAGCGATAAAGTGGGGAAAATCCCCCCGCGAGATCGAACTGGGATGAGGAGTTCCTCAGAAACTTCCGTTTTTGACTTCCCCGATAGCGACTCAGACACGGAAATGCCCGTTTTGGAGCGGCAATCGTTAGAGGATATGAGGAGGGACCGGAAGATCACCTCAAAATCAATTTTGGACGAGGGGGAGAGATCTTTGAGTCCCTTAGATGATACTTTTGACAAAGCTTGCGACAACTTCATGGAACAGCTAAAAACGGGGGGAGGGAAGAAGCGGGGGAGGAGGAAAAAGATTGATACTCAAACTATTGCAAAGTTACAAGAAAATAATAAAAATATTAATAATAATAATGAGGAAATTGTGAAATCGGCGCCGATTATTAAGGTGGAGGAGGAAATCGAAGAAAATAAAAGCGAGTTGAATCAGATCAAAAAGGAGTTGAGCGATTGTAGCGATTCTGAGGACGATTCAGAAAGCCCCGAGTCGAAAGAGCGCAAAAAGCGGATGCAAGAACAGATCAAAAAGAGCCAACAACTATACGCATTAAGAAATTTGACTTCCTGTCTGATAAAGCCTCCCAAAAAGCCAACATTCGGAGACGGATCCGATTTTTACCCGGGATGGGAAGAAGAACTATACCGCTTCAAAAAATCGTTAAGAATCCCCGACAATTTGATCCACGTAACGCGCCCCCCAAACTGTCAAAGATTATCCACATCCCTCCCCGATTTAGACCCATGCCCATCCCCAACGAACTCCTCGATCATCGACGAGTACAAAATCAAAAAGAAAGAGAATTACGACAGCGACATCGACTCGAATTGCAGCTTCAATTTTTCGATGTCGAAAAATTACGATTCCGAGGAAGGATCATCCGTGAAATCGTTCAACATTAAATCCCGCGACTCAATCCTCGATAAATTAGTCGAGAGGTATTCAGTGAAACAGAAACGAAAGTTTAAAAAGAAAGATGAAACCCCAAAAATCATCCCAAAACCCGAAAATCCATTAGAACTCCTCCCCACTCCGAGTTTAGACGTCGAAAACTTAACCGAGAAACAAAAAACCGGGGCTATTATAAAATCGGATTCGGCGTTTTTGGGATTTCGCAAAAAAACTGTCGAAAATTTCAAAGACACGTTCATAAACACCTCGAATATCGTCGGAGTTGGGGAACAATTCACTCCGGTTGTTTTAAAATCGCGCACTCGCAAAGAAACGAGAGTTTTAAAACAAAAAGCGACAATCCGAGAGGTTTTCGGGGAAGATCGCCCCGCTTCCGCTCCGCCGGTTACCTGCGTCGATGAGTTAAAAGATATCAAACGAAATTTGGACGAAAAATCCGATTCGATTAGCCCGAAAGAAGTGCTTAAAAATAAATTGTTGAATAAAGGGAAAAAATTGAACTTAATTAATGAAACTAATTGTGGTAAAATTGATCTTGATGCGAAATCTGAGACTCCTTCGTTGGATGGGGATGAGAATATCTCGAAGATTATTAAGAAAAATAAGTTTAGGAATATTAGGCGTAAAGGAAGTTCTGGGTTTGATTATATTAGGAAGAAGAAGAAGCAGGTTAAGAAGGAGGATGAGAGCGGGACGACGAAACAAAAACGGTTCATTGTTAAAGCGAATCCGGAATCGGTGCAAGATATTCAAAAGGAAATTAAGATGTGGGTGTTGAATAAAGGGATTGGGGAGACTCATCTTCACAGATCTGCAAGATTAGGATATACAGTAATGTTTCTTTTAATTATTAAAGATTATTGTTTATGATTAATTTATTTTTTAGGATATAACGGCGTATTGTTTAGAAAAAATGGATTGTTCACCATCTCCAAAAGACAACGCGGGGTACACTCCGCTTCACGAAGCTTGTTCTCGAGGTCATTTAAGTACGGCGAAATTATTATTGATGTATGGCGCGAATGTGAGTGAATCGGCTCAAGGTGGAATAAGGTAATTAATTACTTCCGTTTGAATTAATCGTACAAATAGGAAATCAGCTGATTATAATTTCATATTGATTATAAAAATCGACTTTCTCATAACGATTAGAGTTGATCAAAAAGCTTAATTCCGGATATTTTCTCCATGTTCAAACTTAACTTTATTATAAATGAAATAATCTGCACATTTACTGGTATTTTTACTAGACGAATTAAGTTTTGTTTTAAATTTGCTTTAAAATGATAGCTATTTCATCATGATATCTTAATTCGTTCTTCAGATACGATTCTTTTAAATTTATATTTCATATCAATAACAATCAAACATGCAGTGTTGGATTTAAATAATCATAACAACGATGTTTATGGAAATTAAGAAATAATTTATGCCACATTAAATTGCCATCAAATTTGCGTTAAATTGCTTTTTATTGCATGATGATATCTCAATTCGTTCTTGAGATACGATTTTTTAAAGTTTATTTCATATCTATAACAATTAAACATGCAGAGTTGGATTTAAATAATCATAAAAACGGTGTTTATGGAAATTAATAATTTATTTATGGTTCATTAAATCTTCATCAAATTTGCTTTAAAATGTTGTTTGTTTCATATCGATATCTCAAGTCGTTTTTGAGATACGTAAAGATTAATTATCGTTCAAGGTTTCGTTCAAAAAATCATAACTCCGAAATTTGGAGATTCCAAGAAATGATCGTTAATATATTAAATACTTAATAAATTAACTTCAAATTGTTTTTTATTTCATAATGATATCTCAATTCGTTTTTGAGATACGCTTCTTATAATTAATTAATTTTTTTTTGTCGTTTTAGGCCATTACATGAAGCAATTGAGAACGGTTTCGTCGAAATAGTTCGCCTCCTCCTCTCATATGGGGCCGATCCAACTTTGGCAACTTATGCAGGTGTCACCCCTTTATCTCTAGCGAGCGATGAATACACCCGGAATTTATTGGAGAATCATTTAAAAGAGATTCAAGGGGAGGAATCGGATAAATGGTTCTTTAATGGTCCATCAAAATGTTTCGGTACGTTTATTAAGCTTAATTATTAATGAAATTAATAACTTTGTTTTAGATCCAGAAGAATCTGGTTACGATCCTTTGGAAGATCTCCCCCAACAAGATCCACAATTAACAGTGAATCACAACCAAGACGATTTAGACTTGGACGATTTCGATTTCGAAGTCAGCGACGTTTTGTTACCGAACTTGTACAGTTTTATAAACGATTCGACGGGCGATCGATGGATTTTGTTGCAGGACTTGTCGAATTTGTTAAAGATTAAATCGAAAGATGCGCTTTTGAAGCAGATTAATCCGTCCGGTTTGGCGGTTGGTGGCACAAAGAGTGTGTTGAAAGAATTAAAAATGACGGAATTCCTCGAACAAGTTCGTTGTTGTCAATTTTTAAACGCTGGCGAAAAAATCAATCCGCGCGCCTCCAAAATCGCCCTCATCAAATACACCGATAAAGTGAAGGAACTTTTAAACGTTGAGCAAGTTACGATTCCAGCGAGGTGACCTTAAATTTAATTATTATGTTTTTTATTTCTTTGTTAGTGTCAAGAAGACGTAAAGTGATAATTTTTTTTTGATTGATTGAGTTAGGAGAGGTGCTTTTTGAATTTTTTGGTTACCAAGTCGATGTTTTAAAGCATATCGAGGTTAAAATGAAATTTAAAGTTTAACATGGGGATATAATTATTTTATTTTGTATTAATAAGAATTATTTTTTTAATTATTTCACAAAAACGAAACGATTTTTGTATATAAAGTTGTTTATAAGAGACTTTCTCAGGGAGTAGTTATAATTATTAAAAAAAAAAACAAATAAGTTTCGAATTTTTTTATTAAAATCTAAATCTAAGCTTTGATTTCGTGCTTTTTAACCTAATTTTAAGTACCTCGTATTTTTTTTTTTTTTATTTTCGATTTAATTTCCTACTTAAGGCCAATAGTTAAAAGAAAAATGAATAATAAAAGAGCAAGAAGGAAGATAATAAAATAATAATAATTTTTTTATAATAAAAAAATAAATCGCAAAAAGAAATAATATATAAATAAATATATATTTGTAGTAATTGAAACGAAAATAATAATTCCTTAGGTGTGAGCTTTCCACGATCGATCAACAAACTCAAAATGATACTGACCGAGTCGATCGTACCCCCTCAATTATTCCTAATCGCTTTTTGTAATTTTAAAATAACGAAAAAATTGTCTATGTGTAACTGTACAGAAACATACATTAAGATAAAATCCTAAAAAAAAGAATGAAAAAACACTTTTCTTCTTTTTTTTAAAGTTGTCTGTGATTGCGATTATAATTACTATTTAAAAAAACTACATTTATTTCGATTAAAACGTTTAAAAAACATTTTTTTTTATTATTAAGGGGTGGTGCAATTTTCGTCAAAATATTAAAAAAAGCTTTTATTTTTTGATTAAGTTTTTTTTGTGATTTAAAACCAACCCCAATTCTTTTTATTTTTTATTTCTTGTTCATTGAAAGCGAAGGAAATAATTTCTTGTAAGATTTTTTTATTACTATCTTTCGTTGTTTCTATTATTATTATCGGACCGTCTGTGAAGTACTAATTATTATATTAAAAAAATCTCGTCCGAAAATCTATTTTTTCGTCTTTTATTCATCCTTATTAATAAATATAAAGCCTCCGAGGCAGGTTACCCCAGAGAGAGAGACATAACCTCAAATCATTTGACGTTTAATTTTTAGTTGCTCATAATTCTTTTAAAACTGTTAATATTAATTAAAAACAACCCAAAACGGAAAAATCAGTGTCAGCTACACCTAATTTATTAGATTCCAGCCGATTTTCAACGATTTTAACTTTAGAAATTGGATTTTAAATTTGTAAACTCAAGCTTCTTTTGTAGTTGGAATATTTTGAAACCTCCAATGGATGAGTGAAATACAAGGACATATGTGTTAAATACGAAGTCTCATCCAAATTAATAAAGAATTAAAGAAGATATTAATAAAATAAGTTTTGGAATTTTGAGTAATTCGAAAGAAATCCGATAGATGGCGTTCTCGAAATATAGAAATATTTAAAATATTTTTAAAAGAAGAAATGGCGCGAAACCCATCTACCAATGAGGATGGAGGGTTTAAAACAAAACGAAGAAAATTTTTTGGAGAGGGGGAAAAGGCTATATAAGAAGAGGAAAAAGTTGAGCCAAATCAGTCCGATTTAGTAATTACTGGAGCACTGTTAAATTTGATTAAAAAATCTAACCTAAAAAAATCCAAAATAATTTCCTAACCTAAAAATTAGTTCTCCGATAAGTTCAATCCAAACTTTTTATGAACCTAAAAAAGAAAAGAAGGAAAATTTAATTAAATAAATTGAGAAGAAATTACCTGATTCCTGATCCAAACGAAGAATAATTATCTGAGCCGAAGTTTTCCGGATTCCTGTCCATTTTCCTTTCAACCCAATCGAATTGAATCGCACATAACCTTATTTATCAGATAAGTGGGATTTTTACTAATCAAATTCATGTTAATAATTAATAATAACACTGTTATGCTGTTATTCTTGTTCTGTTTGTGGATTTATCGACAGATCTCTCTCATTCTCGGTAGTCTCAGTTAACGAAGTTAAAAATAGAAACCTGTAAAATTAATTTTCCTTTTTTTGAACCTGAACTCGCTTTATTATTATTATTATTTTTATTAAAACCCTGAGATAAGAGGATTCAAAAATTTAATTAATAATAAAGTTAATTTTTTTTGTTAAACAAATACTTAACAGGAAAGCTTCAAGAAAATTTTCCTTCAGCTGTAGACTCAGAAGTCAGAATTTTCACAACTCAAGTATTGGTTAACATTTCTTCTGATTCAAAACAATTAATTAGACCAAGCAAAAGAATCTGAACTATCCTATGAGCAGTTTTGTATCTGAATCGCACGAGAATCAAGTCCAGAAGTACTGACTAGAAGAATAGTGTAATTTGCTTTTATTGTCGATTATTTTAGCTTCTAATTTAACTGAACCAATGGTTTGAAGCTGAAATTAGATTAAAAACTGGATCAACTATTAACAAAGAAACACAAAAATTAATTTTTAAAGAAAGTTTACGATGAAAAAATGTGCTTCAACGACTGATCTAAATTACATTATATTTAGCTGAAAATAATATGGCTTTCAGAGGATCTTCTAATAAATTGTGTACCAAAAATAATAGAAAATTTCTAGGACTCGCACAATTATTGGCAAAGTTGCAATTATTGACCCTATCATGGAGGAGCATGTCAAATTAACAATAAATGGTGAGAGGTTTATTGTGGCAAAAATATACAAAATGAATTAATGGCAAAGCAAGTTAAATCAAGTTATTTTGCAGTCATACTTGACTGTACTCCTAATATAAACGATAAAGAACAACTTGGGACTTGCAAAAGAGAATTACCAACCTCAATTTGTAATCATAAAAACGATATTTATGGGAAATAAGAAATTATTTATGGCACATTGAATCTTCATCAAATTTGCTTTAAATTGTTCTTTCGATATCTCAATTCGTTCTTGAAATACGATCTTGTAAAGTTTATATTTCATAATAGAAAGAATGATGGATGATACAAAAAGTGTTGCGCATTAAAATTCGATAAATGCGATTTATTTTAATAATATTATGTATGTTTTAGTGGAAATGTTTCGAGAAAACGAGTAATTTTTTATTGAAAGGTCGAGTTTGAAAACCAAAAAATCAGTCACCCATAGGTTTTTTTATTTATGCACCTCCACTATTTCTACTCTGCATTGCAATCCAAGGAGGGGATGTTGAGATGTTGGTTGGCCAATAACGCTTTTAGTTAATGTGCGGACATTGTGGGGTGATAAAGTAGTTGCAAAAATTAAAACTTATTACGCGAATTAAGTGATAAATACTAAATGCTATATTTGTGCTAAATGATGAGTGATGTTAGTGATGCTAGTGACATTAGTGATGTCAACATCGCCGGATTGCTATTTTGTGGATGTTAAAAGGTATCATATTAATTCATTTTTTGTCGCAATAGATTAATTTATCTTCTTTCCAGCTGAGCTACGATGTGAGCACNTGCATGATGATATCTCAATTCGTTCTTGAGATACGATTTTTTAAAGTTTATTTCATATCTATAACAATTAAACGTGCAGAGTTGGATTTAAATAATCATAAAATCGGTGTGTATGGAAATTAATAATTTATTTATGGTGCATTAAATCTTCATCAAATTTGCTTAAAAATGTTGTTTGTTTCATATCGATATCTCAATTCGTTTTTGAGATACGTAAAGATTAATTATCCCAACATTTATGTTCAAGGTTGCGTTCAAAAAATCATAACTCCTATATTTGAAGATTCCAAGAAATGATTTTGAATGTATTGAATTCTACATAAATTTGCTTTAAATTGATCTTTATTGCATGATGATATCTCAATTCGTTCTCGAGATACGATTTTTAAAAGTTTATTTCATATCTATAACAATTAAACCTGCAGAGTTGGATTTAAATAATCATAAAAACGGTGTTTATGGAAATTAATAATTTATTTATGGTACATTAAATAATCATCAAATTTGCTTTAAAATGTTCTTTGTTTCATATCGATATCTCAATTGGTTTTTAAGATACGTAAAGATTAATTATCCCAACATTTATGTTCAAGGTTACGTTCAAAAAATCATAACTCCGATATTTGAAGATTCCAAGAAATGATCTTGAATGTATTGAATTCTACATAAATTTGCTTTAAATTGATCTTTATTGCATGATAATATCTCAATTCGTTCTTGAGATACGATTTTTTAAAGTTTATTTCATATCTATAACAATTAAACGTGCAGAGTTGGATTTAAATAATCATAAAACCGATATTGCGTCATCGACCTTTGTCTTGCGTAACCGTCTCCGATTCAGCACGTGTTTGCAAATTTTGTTATGTTGCTATAATAAGGAGTTAATTAATCAGAGTTAAAA